CGGCGACCGCATTTGTTTGCTTAACTTTAAATGAAGTCGTTCATACTAACGGCGAACGGGAACACGGCCGAACTTTTGCTCGCGTGGAAAACCGCACAGATTGCACAGATCGCGCGAACGATTTTCAGCTTAATACATGGTGACATATCTGTAGCAGGTGGCTCTAGACGTCTTCGTCATGTCGCAAGTGACAAGACAAAAGAGGGAATTTCTGTGCATATCGTCGATCGTCGCTTTTAATACGACCGGTTTTTCGTTCGGAAAATCGCAGAGGTCGCGGTTTGCGTCCGCGTTCATACTAAAAAATCGCTGAAAAGGATGGAGAATCCCACATAAATAAATGAGGATTTCTCTTTACCAGCATGGAGCCTGGCACTGCCTTTTTATAATAACACCATGTCTAAAATCTGCCATTTGCCAGCAGAATTTACAATAACAATGTGAATACTTCAAGCGAGAAAAAACGCTACGGAAAACTCACATAAGGATTAGACCGACTTATATAGCCGGCGAAAACGCGCGTGGAAACGCGTACATGGAAAGCGAACTCTAAGTTTCACGTTGTAGAGGAAAATTTAAACACTTCTACATTCCATGGACCTTGAAATTTGTAGAAAATGGTTGTTTTTGTAGTTTCTACATAATAAATGATGTGTCGATGATAGAGAAAGATTATATAGAACTCAACCCCAAGGGACACGCGTCGTTTACGAGATGTATTATGTGCATGGATGACAATGCAATGATGCAAAAAGGCAAAATTTGCGACTAGTATGAAAGTAAACTTTTATTCCAAAACCGGTTTCTACATGGCGTTAAACATTGATTTTGGGTGTTCAAACTCCTAGAAGGTTTAATCTTATTCCAGCCATTTAAATCGTTTTAGAATAAGATATAAAAATAGCTAAAATCGGTTGTATTCCTCGAAATGTATCGATTATCTTAATTGTAATCGATCAGTGATTGTACTCGGAGCTCGATACGCTTATAAAGTCTAACGGTGTCACTATCAATCATATACTTAAAAAGAATTATCATTTAAAGATGCATTATGTAACTAAATCTGCCTGTATGCTTCTCTCCAGATGTAAATGTTATATAAACATTTAAACATTTATTAACAAGACAAACCCATAATCAACTCTTTTGGTCATCGGATGGCTCAGATTAGAACACCGCGACCATTTAAGTACTGTTGCTACGATAATAAACAATATACGCTACATTTTGTCAAAAACCCAAAAGACGCCTAACTCCGCACAGAATAAAGTAGTAATTTGACTGATATATTCATTTTATTTTTCATTACCTATATTTGAACTATTATAACAAGAACGACCAGCTCTTTATCTAAACCTTACATAATGCATCTCTAATGAATAACGACGGATATACACGCTTCGATTTGGATGTAAATCATTGAGATATAATTGGTCGTACAAAAGCCAATGTGTGTTATTTCAATAAACAATGGAGCATGGTTAGCATTTTACATGTATGAAGCGAATTTTTTTTTATTGATGTTGGCTAACAAAAAATAAGTTTTAATTTCTGAATTTGGTGAAACCTTACTGCAGGAGGTCTCGGTTTCGCTCCCGGTGTTGGCCGAGAAAGTGCCGGTGCAGAATGGAGGGTCGGACACGGGCAACTGTCTAGTCGTTCCGATTGGACAAAAAACCGAGGTCCCGTGTACTCATTGGCCTGCACGTACAACCCCCACCCCCCAAAATCCTTGACAGTTGGAATTCGATTTAAGAGTAGGCCATAGCGACACTGTCCAGGATAAATTTCTCTCATCGCACACTGCATGGTGCATGCACGCACGTCTTCATTAGCAAAGTCGGTGCAAAATATTGGTATTCTTATGACTGTGTGATAATATATATACCGGTATACTGGTATTCTGTGGTATTATGTAGAAAATATTATATATTATTCTATAATATTTATTATTGATATATATAAGTAACCAGAATCGAACCCGTTACCTCCTGGTTAGTGAGCCAGCGCTACACTAACCAAGCCATTCTAGTTACTGTGTTATGTAAACTGGGTATATACTGGTATTCTGTTGTATTATGTAGAATAGTATTGCGGTATATTATTTATTAATGATATGAATTAGTAAGTCAAATAATTAAACACAGAATTGGGTTAGAAATATATCCCCAGGGTATCAAGATAAACAAGCAAAGGTTTAACATTTACTTTTTACAAATAGTATAAATAAAAAGAACAAAACAACTCCATACTGAAAGCATCCCGTTAGTGTGCTAGACAATACTAATATTTTCAACAGTTCTACTAATCATTACTTTAGTTACTGATCGTGTTTATTTTGGGACATTTATCGGTTTGATGTACTGGTGTCAATTGTTGCTTTATGACTAATAGACATCCGGTTTCAGATAGATTATATTGGAGAAAGGTGCGATAGGTATTGACTGGATAGAAATCGATGTTATACTTTGCTACCTTTCTCTGGGGGGATCACGTGGCTAAGTGGGTAAGACGCTGGCTCGCTAGCCTGGAGGTCGGGTGTTCGATCCCTGCATTGGCCGAGAAAGTTCATTCAGATTAAAGTTCATCCAGATTTTCTGGCGTGGTTCCCCCTTGTCAGTGATGCAGGACAGAGGGCCTGACAAGGACAGCTGTCTAGTCCTTCGGATGATACGAAAAACCGAGGTCTCGTGTATACATTGGAATGCACGTAAAAGATCCCTTCGCAGTTGGAATTCGATATAAGAGTAGGCGATAGTGCCGCTGCCCGGGCAAAATTTCCCTCATAGCACACTGTATGGCGTATGCCCGTCTTCATTAGCCCAGCACAGGAGCAGAACAGTAGGAAGTTAAACCCCATTTCATTTCATTTCTGCTACCTTTCTCAGGTTTTTTTGTGTCCGCAAGAACATCAATCTTGAACACAAATATCGAAACCAGGAGGCTTTTACCATGATCCATTCACGGAAAAGTAAATAAAAAAAAGGTATATTCAGTTTAACGTCTTAATTTTCTCCACAAACCGGGGTAAGGAAGACAGCCACACGCCATGCAATTATGGAAAGTTTGCCCTGGCAACGACCTGGGAATAAACAGAAAGAAACAAACATAAAACAACCCTTTAGGCTTTATATTGTTAATAGACAATAAAACTAGAAAATGTATCATCTTTCAATTACAATAATTGTAATAGGTAATATCAACGAGGAGGACCGTGCGCTTTGATGTTTTGAATGTGTTTACTAATTAATAAGACAATATTATCTACATTAACGTCTACGGACTTGTATATGAAGTCCATCCTACCCATCATAAATGCCGGTGAACTTTAAGATACTTTTGTAAGCAACTCCAGACGTAAATCACTGGATTTCATTAAGATTTTTGTTTGGGTTATGCATAGAATCTCTCCGCACCGGTATATTCGTCATAGAAGAGAAATCTGGGAACGGTTGATGTTTTGCATTTTTCACACCAGTGGCTACTCAACGCATCCTCATTTAACATACCTGGTTACAATTAGGCACACACATACTGGGCTCTCTTAGTCTTATTTAGTATGCCAATACTTCCTGAAGGTCTAAAATAGATTAAATGATTGCAGTTGAAGTATTGACCGGTCATGTGCCCTAAAAGTGCTATATCATTACTATATTATCGTTTGGTTTCAGTGAGTGTTTAGTTTGTATGGATACATGTTTTAGTTTGCGGGTAAGTTTGATATAGTACACGAGAATGCTATTTATTTCTTTTTTAAAATATAGCGCACGTATTATAGTATAGTTTCAATGTATCTTTGTGCTAAATGATGTATTTTTGTATTTTCTACTTGTAACATGAAGGATATTATAATACTTTTTTTTGACGTTAGACTTACATAAAATGTATGTATTACAAGCGGTGGTATATTATGTATCATTTTATGTTAACAATATGTTACATATTATTCGTATCACAGATGCATTCAGCATAAACACGATAAGGTTATATACTTTTGTATACCGGTATTGTAAACATAACATTACCTGTATTACAATAGTGTGAAACGTCACATAAAATATCGTAAACATACGGTAAATGTAAGTGTAATCATAAAGTTACATAATGTTTGTGTAATCATAAAGTTACAAGTTGTTTGTCCCATCGTATTGTAAACATAACATTAACGTATGCTTGTATTGATCAATTTAAACACAGCGTTGCTGAATTTTCATATCGCTGTACTGTAAATATAAGTTCATTACTTTATGAATGTACCGCATATAACGTTACATGATGTTTATATCATAGTATTACAAACATATGTTGACATGATGTTTATATCATAGTATTACAGACATACGTTTACATGATGTTTATATCATAGTATTACAAACATAAGTTGCCACGATGTTTATATCATAGTATTACAAACATATTATGTTTGCCATGATGTTTGTATAATATGAAAACATATTAAAGTTTACATGATGTTTATATCGTACTATTATTAACATAACGTTACACAATGTTTATATCGTAGTACAATAAACATGGTGTTTATATCGTAGTATTATTAACATAACGTTACACGATGTTTATATCATAGTATAATAAACGTGGCGTTTATATCGTGGTAATAAATACATAACGTGTTAAACGATGTCTATATCATAGTACTATAAACATAATGATGAAGTTAAGTTTTTCTTAAGTTATAAATGACAGAATCTCATAATTGATAACTTAACGTTACATTACACAACATTTTAAACATTATGTTTCCCCATTCTTGAAGTACAGCACTGTAATTGGTAAACACAAATTATATTGTGCATGCTCGGATTTACATAACGCCACGCCCACACGCCCGTATCCTTGATCTATATAATGTTGTATACTGATATAACACAAGTGGATACAAAATGTTACGTGTTTGTATTTGTTTACTGCATTCGCTTGGTTGAATTATACATTAATACATACATTTATATTCAAATTAGTCCCTTTCTTCTTTCCAGTGTTATTAGAAATGTCAAGACAGACCACACCTGAGCTAACTGGTCACATATGGAACTGAATAACATTAGTTCTATACCCTTGATGGTTGATATAATAACGAAGTGTGAAGGTAATTATATGTATGAATATATTTCAATAGTTAGGACATTTGATTGTATATTCGGACATCTTGGAAGAGGAAGTGTTACGATTTAGAATTGGATAATCCTCGCGTGATGAGAATCAATTCATGGCAAATCACTAAACATTCTACAAGAGTCGATAATAGTTTGTTGAAATGTTTATTTTCTTTACTAGTTGTAGGTTTGTTTGAAAAAAAAATTAGATACCAACCATCTATTGACGGAAAACGCTTATTAAAGATACATTATGGGAGATTAGATAACGGTTGGCAGTTCTCACTATAATAGTTAAAAACTAAATAATGTAAAGGCAATTTGCTGAAGATTTCAGTCAAATTGATCCACTATGAACCGAGAAATAAGCGATCGAAAGTTCCGCATAGCCTCGGTCATCATTACTAAAGTCGGTACGACAAAAATCATAGTCTCGATTATCCATTTAATCGTTAATTCGAGAAGGAAAGGTATGCAGCAAATCGGATCATAATCCAACAATTATCGCAGGATAGCGCTGACATTGAGAGTTGATTATATTTGGATACGTTAATTAATGTCTAATTAATAGTTTATATAACATTTCAGGCCTAAAGAAAGACCTGCAATATGCAGATTTAGCTCTTGCATAATGCATGTTTAAATAAGCTACAGTTTTATCATTCTTACAGTTCGGTTATCATGTCGATTTACGTATGCAGATAGAGATATAAACTTTATAGTTACTCGAATATTGTATAGAGTGCATGACATACCATACTTTCTATCAACAGGCAAACAAAACCATGGTTATTACGGATTAGGTATAATTGTGTATGAATTACTTAGTACAGTTCTTTCCTGCATAAATGTTCATAAAATAAAAACCTATTAGCTTACATTTAAGGACACGTGTGGCGCAATCATTTAATAATACAATAATAATTATTGGTTTCCATAAAATTGTGTCAATTATATACATATAAAAATTGAATATGCACAATGTTAGTTAGTTAGGGAAGTATTTTAAAGAAAGGTGGCAATCAGAACAGATGAAGATGAACTGAACAGCAAATTGAACAATCTGTTACAAAATTCGGACGGGTATGCCATTATTGCCAATGTAATCCGCCCATTTCTCTTACGCTTGAAGTGATAAGTATGTTATAAACTTTTACAACAAATGTCAGTATAGCATTTAATAAGTTTAATTGTTCTCCTTATTTATTTTAGCTTGACTAATTTCTGTTGAAGCTGAATATACATCTGAAATAGCAATTAGCAATATGTTTCCCAATTTTATACTCGAATGCACCGATAAATAACTGTAATGTGGTAAGCTTTAAAAACACCCTGAAGTTATTTGCATGTGTAAGTTCACAGCTGGGAGTTTGATGTTTACAGATAAATCATATGGACGATATTTAAAAAGAATAATGTTTTTCCATGTCGCAACTGTTGGGCGCGTTTCTGTGCTTGACTGGATATAGATCCTGTTTCAGAACGCGGATGTGTTGTGATAATTTTGTGATAGTGTAACCAAATTGTGATCAATATGGATGGAATGGACGGTAGAAAATTATTATTATTAATTATTGTTCTGGTGATTTATCTAAGTTTGGGGTCGGTGATGTTTAGAATGTTAGAGGGTGAAGCTGAAACAGAAAGACAAAGATCCCTAGACTCCTTCCTTAAAACATTTTTGTGTGAGTATAAATATTGATTTTTGTTTTATCATTTCAAAACTAGAATTGGCTTGGTGAGAATGGAGCTTGCTCTCTAACCAGGAAGTTCAGGCGCGTGGCTAGAGGAGGAGGCTGGTGGCGCAGGGCATATTCATTCTCTATACATTCATAGAAATAACGTTGAAGTATTGTCGCCGTTTTTGGCTCCCTCAACTGTAATCCTATACATGTATGAACCTAAATGAGCATAAATATTGTCTCAAAGTTTCTGATTTTATCAAATTCGCGGGTAATCCCCGCCTCCTCCCACCTCCGACCTAACGCCAAACGTGACGATGTCTCCACCTTGGACTGCTGCTCCTTAAATTTCTGGACAAGTCCCAGAAGTTCTGGGTTCGATCCCGGTGTTGTCAGAGAAAGTTCCTGGGGATTTTCCAGCCTGATTTACCATTGTCTGTGATGCAGAAAATGAAGTAAATGTATGTTTAGCCATTGTAATAAACTAAGATTTCATGGAGTATTTGATATAAATACATCGTGATACTGATAGTCCCTGTGATAGACCAAAGCTTCAGACAATTCTTTAACTGTTAATCCTCTCAGAAATGACGATAGCCCAAAATGAAACTTGAAGGATTATACTATGCAAATCCATAATTTAAACATGGTGATAAAATTTATAAATGAAATGAAATGGGGTATAACGTCGTCCTTTTCTGTACCGACTGGGCTAATTGAAGACGAGTGTACGCCATAAAGTGTGCTATGAGGGAAATTCTGTCGATACTGACGCTAGGGCCTACGATTATCGAATTCCAGCCATATGAATGACAAGGGGCGGGGGACCACGGTTGAAAATTCTGTGGAACTATCTCGGACGACACCGGGATCAACCCCAGAACCTCCTATTACGAAGGGATTGTATGATGAAAACGAAAGTTTAGAAGGATACGACACCTATTATTAGAGATTAGGGAGCTGTGGTGACTAAGTAAGTAGGACAATGACTCGCCAAGCTTGAGGTTCCGGGGTTGATCTCGGTGTTGGCCGAGAAGGTTCCGTAGGATTTTCCGGTGTGGTTTCTCCATGTCAGTGGTGCAGGATGGAGGGCCTGGCAAGGAACGGCGTCTTGTCTTTTTTTATTGTGTGAAAAAACATTGGCAGTTGGAATTCGAAATAAGAGCAGATTGTTTTGCCGCTGTTACAAATTTACCTCATAGCATAAGCCCGTCTTCATTAGCGCGGACAGAGCAGAAAAGTAGAAGGTTAAATACCATTTCATTTCATTTAGTAGAGTTTACTATTTATTCAGGGGATCACGTGGCTAAGTGGGTAAGACGCTGACTCGCTAGCCTGGACGTCGGGTGTTCGATCCCTGCATTGGCCGAGAAAGTTCATCCAGATTTTCCGGCGTGGTTCTCCCTTGTCAGTGATGCAGGACGGAGGGGCTGACAAGGAAAGCTGTCTAGTCGTTCGGATGGAACGAAAAACCGAGGTCCCGTGTACACATTGGCGTGCACGTAAAAGATTCTTTGGCAGTTGGAATTCGATATAAGAGTAGGCCGTAGTGCCGCTGTCCGGGCAAAATTTCCCTCATTAGCGCAGTTCGGAGCAAAACAGTAGGACGTTAAACCCCATTTCATTTCATTTCATTTCTATTTAATCAAATCGATTTATATTATGTTGCACCAACTAATTCAGTTTCTGTAATTAAACCAGAGTAACAGGTGGTTCACACACTGATAATATAATATACCAACTGTATATTACTAACTGAAGTATGAATTTCTATTTACACTATAATACAACTTCAGATCTCAGATACAATGTGTGATCTGTTCTCTGTGATGTTTATGGGGTATAATTGATTTATCATTAGCATGTTTTGTAAAGAATGTAATAAAAATGGTTCATGCATTTTATTCAAATATATATATTTCCTGTAGTAGTCTGGGTCAGATTCCGCCGATTTTCAAATCATGCCTTTAAAAGAACTTTTATAAATTCTCAATCCATTTATTTCTTTAACGATATATGCTCATTTGAGCATAAATCGGTTCTCTATACTTATTGTTATCTGCAAGTATGGTATTTCTAATGAACAGTATTGGTTCAAATCGTATAAGTCAGCAATAAATAAAATAAGTTATTAGTTACACACTGTCAACCACTGCGGATCAAGCTCGCCTCTGTGACAGCTCCAGTGGTAATCATAGGTAGTTATTGCTATAATTAAACCAACATTTCGTTACCAAGATTAGTCTCCTAGCTGAATGTATTATGGAAGGGCATCGCTGCCAATATTAAATTCTCTGCTACAATGTCTTTTCCATTAATTATATGTAAAGTAATACCGGTAGTGATAAAGTCAAAATACCTCTTAGGCAAGAGTTAAATGTAAAACGTCAAATGTTAAGTGTTAAATGACAAATGTTTTGAGGGAAAATGCTTTTTTTGACGAGTCTACATTTTACATTTCTCTCATTACATTTTACATTGTCGCAGAGCATTTAATATTGACAGCGATAACCTTCCATAATGTATTGCTCCACATTATAATTTAGTTTTCTCCGTTAAGTATAAAACCATTCAGAATGTTATTATTATTTTTTTTTATCTTAACAGTATAAGCATTGGGCGGCTTGTCTTTTAAAAGATTGTTCGAGAAACCTCGTTTATTTCTTAATATAAAACACTCAATCACACGTTCGTGTTTTCCGTTAAACCATATTTACCAATTTCTAATGAGATTTTTCCTGCCAAATATACTAGACATATTTTATAATATAATGAGTGCTGTTCCATTTATACAGGCATTAGACAAATAATTATTATACATGATAAATAGTTTTAGCGACGTAATCGTTTATTAATTTTTTACCGATATATTGTAATTAACCATAAATTAACTGCTGGCTGAATTCAGTTTATTCTAATGACTGGATTTCACGCAGTTGTTTTTTTTCTCGAGTTCTTACAACGGGCTTTTTTTATCCCTCAGTTTTATTCGACTTGATCATTTCCTCCACGAAATTATTTAAAGATACCTTTAACGTTATCGGTATTAATCAACATATTTCTATATTTTCCGAGAGTATGTATAAATTGTCGTCACCATATACTGCAGTTGCATCGCCAATCGAGCCGTTGTCAATTTATGCAGGAAATGTTTGAAATCGAAAATGCTACTGAAAAGTCATGGCATCTTCATTGCTCCTTATCGTCGGCCCGTCTTATGAACATGATTGACTTCTCCACTATACTGAATGAGAGTTTTGATGCATAGATCTTGAAGATTTATATGACGATTTGTTATGTCACAGTTATTATCTAACTTCTCTCTAATATGACACTGAGGCCCATTGCGGGTAAGAGAATGGAAATGATATTAAGAGCAAATACTTTTAAGTGGTGTTTGCTAAAACTTAGAAACAAGTCCATATTTAAGGGCTCTATCAGTCTCCAGATGGTGACCTGGCGGGCGACAGTGGTTCTATTAGGCGTTTATTGAGGACTCTGACTAGCTTTCAGAAGGTGACACCATTTATTTACTTGACGGGCATTAATGCCCATAACATTCCGTCCAATGTTATGACGTCACCTTCCGGTCAATCCATAACGTCTTTTCTTAACACGCAAACTGTACAGCGATACTGGACCTGAGGACTATGAAATCAGTTCTGGTACAGGAAACTATATTGGGTCCTTTTTGTTATTTTATAAACCGTCTAGGTGAACCTCTAATTTTGTATATTTTCTTTTATTTTCAGCAAATCATTCATGTGTATCAGTCGAGGCACTTCGTGGTGTATTGTCTAAAGCTACTGAAGACAGTGTTCTTGTAGAATTTGCTCTTCAAAACACCACTCATAATCAAATTGATAGATGGCAGTTCAGTGGTGCTTTTGCTTTTGCCGTCTCTGTTGTAACCACAATAGGTGAGATTTAACTAGATACTAGAATCTGTCCACTACTTACGTTACCTGTGCTGAACAGGGAGTGGGGTCCGGTAATGTATAGATGTTAGCAAATTTGATTAGTTGTAGGTTGGACTGTCTTCATCAAATGCAGTCTCCAAAAGATGTCGTATAATTTAGATGGCAGTTCTGATTAGGCATGGTCATTCAAATGTCCTTACTAATCTGTACGACTATTAACCCCAACCTGAAACAAATTATGCAAACTCTTTTTTATCGAATCTAGACCAAAATCTCAACAAAAACTGATATACAAAACAGTAGAGGTTGGCACGGTGTTGTATGGGTATAGCCTGAACGGGAGTAGCATACCTCAAAAATCGGAAGGGGTAGTGCAACACCACCGACCTTTATGTTACTCTTGGGTTCATGCTGCACTTATAACTTATACCCCGAATTTCCATCCCAGGACAACCCCTAGTATGGTTATCTGGCGTCAAATGGATATCTAGTCATTAATTATATGGATGTTGTTATCAGAATATATCTCATTTATTTAAAATACCGATAAATATTTCGTTTCGTTTTTTACATTTTCGATGGCCTGTACTACATGAAGATCTGGCCGGATGTAGTGAAAGGTCGCGTCAGAGGTCACACGAGCGATTTTTGGCCCTATGACGTCAGACATTTGATTAATCAATCAGCGTTGGTGTTTCTAGTGGCTTACCCACAGTTCCGTGCACCTCACGCCAAAAACATTGGCGAATACCTCACATCACCCAGAACGCAGGTTATATAACAACGCTTCCGGATCCTAGTGTAGTAAAAAACGAAACGAAATCGGATCTGTGTTTTAATCAGATTGTTAAACATTCCATTGCAGGTTATGGAAATATGGCTCCATATACATTAGCCGGGAAAGCTGCAACAGTGGCCTATGCACTAATTGGCATACCAGTTACTTTAATTCTGCTTAATGCTCTGGGAGAAAAACTTGCTGCACTTTTTGCCAAAATAAATAAACTGAAATTGTGTTCAAAATCGAAACCGGGTATAAATAAAACAGTGAACATGGTGTTAATTGTGTTATTTGGTGTGTGTTTAATGTTCGTAGCACCAGGGTTTATATTTACGCTTGTAGAAGAATGGAATTTTCTGGAGACTCTCTACTTTTGTTTTATTACACTGAGTACCATAGGATTCGGTGATTACATCATTGGTAAGCGATATTAAGCTCATAAATAGGTATAGTCAGGTCAATATATGGAAAATACCCCCTCAACCACCAAACAATTGCTACAAAGGGTTTCTCAACTGATTTTGGTAGGATTAAGTGTACTTTATAACATACTAAAAGTATACCAAAGAAGGACCCCCGGAAAAGTGTTTTTTCAAGATGGCGTCAAAGATGGCTACCGAAACGTCTTAAAATGATCATAACTAAGTAACTACCAACTCAAATTTGATGTTGGTGTCTTTTCTTAGGTTTTTTGGGGAAAAGAACACATTAAGATCATTAAAAATGATGTAGGCCTATTATGTAAAAAAAATGGCCGCTAACACCTCCAAATGACCGCATGTCCATAACTATTGACTCAAATTTGATGATCTTGATAAGTCTATCCCCATTTCGACGATTTTAATCGAAAACACTATGTATACTTTTAGAGTGTGTATTCGGCTTTCATTTTCCTAGGTAAAGAAATTGAAAATGTTTAATTAGTCTTTAGGGATATTTAATGGATTAGAATCGCATAATTAATCATTACACTTTCAGTATGGTGCACGTTAAGGTCATAGATCAATTCTTAACGTATATAGTTTTCTGTGTGCAGATTCCGATACCTACATATGGATATTCTTTTATGATCATGTCCGCCATCGACGGTAGGGTTATTTTTCGGGGCAACGATGTTTCCGTCTATATATACGCTACTTTAATTTACAACTGTAATGGGTTCTTTTACATGCACTCTTGTGAATATATGGATGAACCATTTGTTTTCTTACAACCCGAACGGGTTCGCCCCACGGGCGTTGCCCCTGACAAGTGGGAATCAGGACAACTCTTGTATGACAGTTCCAGTTTCAGAGAGCACTGTACTCCGGCTTTTAGAGCAGCTAACATTGTACGATAATTTCAGATACAGTAAAGCATTTCATCACTTTGTCACGAAAACACAGGCTAACAAGTGAGCTCATGGAATATGGCCATCGTACCACAGTATCAGTTTCTCGTATTACGAAATGTCAATATTAATGTACAATTTGAAAATTCGAAGACCTAGATTTTTACTAGACGTGCCCCGATTCCAAATTGACAAGTAGCTAACTCTTACAGGCTAGCAATAGAGCAAAATCTTATCTGTTATCTTCAACGAGAATCTTTAAGTACATCACAAGTTCTGTAACATATATATCGAACATAAATAAAATCATCATCACCATTTATCTATGTTATATATTATTTCAGCCACACACAGGAACAGCGCTGGTAAAGACGCCTACACTATTATAGGTTATGTATGGGTTCTGTTCGGACTCGCCTATCTTTCATTGGTCATCAAATACATCACTGATGTTCTTATGAAAAAGGCCAACAAGGTTGTCAATCAGAGGCATTTCAAACGGGTGGAGGTAAACACAAAGAATTCTATTTATCCTGCTGTGGCGTCAGAGGACCACACCCTTCCCCCACCGACCTACTTAGAATATTTAAATTTTATAATACTTTTCATTCGATGCTAACCATAACCAAGCCCCATGAGCTAATTTTCCCCATTTCTGATGGATGCTTATGTTATTAGTGTAACACTATCTTAGTGATAACAGAGGAGATCAGTTTATTAAATATAGGATTTATTTACAACGGAAACAGAATATAACATTACTACATCAATACTACAGAAACTAGACAAAACTGGAACTAAACTACATCCAACACATACAACTATATTAAATCCACCATTCGGCCCTTCTGCCAAGGCAGCGGCCGAACTCGTCCAAGCCTCTCTTTTCCGCCCGTCTGTGGTCCCCTTTAGTCGACTGCCTAACTGTCAGTAAACTCCTCAATATATACACCTCGTGGGTTTTCTCCGGGTCCTCCGGTTTCCTCCCACTGCTAAAGACCCCTACGCACTAGCGAATTATTGAAATAAAATTAAAAACCATATGTTGGTCCCGAAATGACCTAATTTGTGTCGAGTGGACATTAAACCCCATTTCTCTCTCTCCTCAATATATACCCTCGGACGATAGATAAGACACATGGTCATACATGCAATGGTCTCTTTTATTTCGTCACGACATGCTTACTGGCCAGTGCACAGATCATATGTAGCTTGTAAAGTACATATTGAATTAATTACATGTTTAATTACAACACAGACAATCGCGACTTAAGAACAGTGCATACAGAGTTAAAAGGTCAATATTATATATATTATCAAGAAGCATGGCTGGAGGTCAATAAGTTCAATTTGATAAAAGTTATAGATCACTTTGTTACATTATTAGGTTTAGGTACATCCACTTGATGCTCTATATGTTTAAGATCGAATGACACGATTCTGTTATGCAGCAAAGAAATAAACTCATTGACAGTTTTGGTAGTTCGCCTAGTTGAATAGCACCTCCCTAATACACTTTTTAATATTTCAGGGTGAACTGACACAGCTGCAGAGTCTGGTGGAAAATGGTATAAAAGATAAATTAATCAAAAGTGGCTTAACACAAAAAAGAGGTTCACATGACAAAGTTGTAACAATCAGTGCTTCTAAACTCCCTGATATTGCTGTCGGTAATACTGCTTATGGTGTGGAGTGTACACACTTATAACTAATCATATACTTAAAATCCCAAAACTTACCAGTAAACATGGCTGTGATATGAATTTGTGTTATTTGATCACTACAGACTCTGTGTGTGGATCCGTTTCAACTCATTTACAAAACAGCCTCCTTTGATTGGATTATAGTTTGATGTCCAGTGTTTGTTGACCAGTACTCGAGTATAATAGGGACCTTTCGCATCGGTACGAAAACGAACACCAAAACGAACATATGTTCCTTTACGTTTTCGTGTTCGTATCGTCTAACACGCGGTTTCGCAATCCGACGTACGATATTCGTACCGATGCGAAAGGTCCCTAATAGTTCGTAGTATTCAGAACCTATTGAGGTAAATCAGCAGGAGAGGGAATCTTTTCAGCTAGTGTGCGCTGTGTAAACGTAGTTCTCTTTCAAAGGAGTACAAAGGTTGTGTGTATTTTTAATACCGTTTGGTTTATGTAATGCGACTTTAATATAATGTACTTAATATAACCGGCGTTGTCAATAGTTTCTTAAACTTCGCCAAAAATGAACCAAACTGTTTTACTTAAATTACTGGTATACTGGACAAGACAAAATCTATTCAATTGTGTGAATATGTTGTGATATCGCGATGTAAAACATAATTTGCCAAAGGATTAACACGATTCTCATCACGGGGCTATAAAACAATGTTTTATGTTTTAGAGGTCGAGATTAACTTTAAGATACAAATAACTACTCAACATGATTGTGTGAAACAGCTGATTAATTAGAAACCGGCAGGAAAAGTAATTGCTATGTTCTTCTCTTACTACGCTATTAAAGACAAATTATTTCATTGTTTCTTCTAAAGAGAGATAGAAGAAACCTCCCGTTTTAACGGTTGTTGTATATTGGATAGACGTATCTATCAAAAAATGTTATTTTCTTACAGTATGATCATTTGTGGGATATATCATACCATAAATTCTACTGAACAGCACACATATCGGGTTAGACCAGTGATTCTCAACCAGTGTGCCGCCATATTCCTGAAGCAATGGCCCGAGAAATCCCTCTCTGGGATTAGCTCTAATCAAACGAAACACTGCGAGAAGTATGGTTTGCCTCGAGATCTTCCTAAGTGTGCCGCAAAATTTTGAACGCCGCACTAAGAAAATGTGCAAAAATTGATCCCAATTGAGTATTCACTGGTGTCTACTGATAAGTTCATATAGCTGTGTTTTTCTATATTTAATTTAGGTCATTCTATGGCTATGACTAGTCACTGTCTACGGTTGTATTCCGTCTGACTTACCATGTTTTTATTTTGCAAAATTTAGATATTTTTCATATATATTTAGCCAGGTGTGCCGCTATTTTTTCATGTGTTCCAAGGTGTGCCGCATGGCAAAAAAGGGTTGAGAAACACTGGGTTAAACGATTGATCGGGGGAAGAGAAAATAATTATGAAGCAAATTTTATATAAAGTTCCATCGACCCCCTTTGTTTAGGGAAAAATCCCCAATTTTCTATTAAGATTATATCGAAATTTTTACCAGTGTCGTATGTAGAGTTTGGATCAACTGTTAAACAGACGGGGATATGTTATATGATTGTGTCATATGTCTTGTATCCTTCTGCGGCTGCGGCCTCGTTAGTGAACCGAAAGTGCACAAACACAAACAGGTCACACCCTTCCCGCCGCTGTCTTAGGGACGCTACGTCATTTTGACACCACTATTGGACTTTCCAGGAGTCGAGATAGAATATGATTGACACTTTAAGCAATAGTCAAATATGTGTTGACGGCTTCAATATATTGTTTAGAGTGTATTAATATCATATGCCAAAAGGAAAATATATATGCCATTACATTGAGTGCTAGCAAAAACTGAAATCAATTTGAGAAAAAATTGAGTTAAGCCGTTTGTCATAAGGGTTGATGCCATGCCATTTTGAATTGCATATTTTACCTTGAGTGCTAGCAAATACTGGATGCAATTTGTCTTAAGGGTTAAATAGATACTATATTTTCATTTTTAGGGTATTAAACCTGTCCGAATTGTAAATAGTTTTGTTATATATATTTTTTATGTATGTATTTATAAAACGGTTTTAAGAAGATGCATTTTAATGTTGTGCATTTATTCATTTTAATATGAACTTCGCGGTTTGAATGACGACTAGTTTTAGTTTCGTTTTATGATTTGAAAAAGACTACAACAACTTAGCGTTCGAAGATCTCCTTATAACCTTTGACAATGCATCCAAATTTACTGTTATTTAATGCGGTCAAAGAACTACAGACTGGAATGACCCAGACTAATATTAATGGTCTATTTTTTTTTACATACCATAGCCGCCACGCAAGTTTCATACAAACATAAAGATGATCGGGATGTGGGTTTTTGTCTACATTATTCATATACTGATTAGTATAGTATTCCTCGGGATAAATTAAGTGTCTAAAACAGAACCATGGTTATTGTGATATTAATTTCCTTGGGGGCTACAATTAATTTAGATGAAAATTTTAATCCAATGGCGTCTCATTTAGATTTCTCTTTATAATATCAAATTCGTTACCAATTTTTATATATAATGTTTTTTTATAGTAAATAAATTTTAAAAGATTGTATGTTTAGTTTCATTTATATAAACACGCCTTGTACCATAGATTAATATTATTAATTTATTACTAATTATTTTAATTTCGCATCTTTTTAAACTATCCAGCCTGTATTGCTAGGTTCCCACTGTCGTATAGGATTGTCCCTGATGAGTCTACGATCCAGTAAGTAAAAATACGTTCGGATACGTTTCGATACGATCAACACGATTGCTACGACTGACCTCAATATACTTATGATAAGGACCACCACGATTAACCCACGATTAAAACCACGATTTCAATCGTAGCGCGAATCGTGATAGTAGGAAGATGGGCTACTTCCGACAATAGCCCACGACAAAGCACAAATTCGGCACACTGTATCAGTCTACGATTAATCAGGTATATTGTCACCACTCTTGTCCGTCGGTCCACACCTTGGAGTTGAACATTGACGAGATTCTTCGATGTTTCGCGGTGTTATTCACTAGTCATTCCAGTATAGCCACATTGAAAGACACGCAGCGGCACTATGCCTACTGTTATACCGAATTCCAACTGCCAAGGGGCCTTTAACGTGTACGCCAATGGATACGCGGGACCTCGACTTCCCCTTGTCAGCGCTCCAGGACCTCTGTGTGTGTGTGGGGGGGGGGGGGCAGTGGACAACGTATATTCGTTCGTGTGGGACGAAAAACCAAAGTCCCGTGTACACATCAGCGAACACGTAAAAAAAAACCTTGGCTGTTCGAATTCGATTAATAAGAGGAGGCCGTGGAGCCACTGTCCATCAAAATAATCCCTCATAGCACACTGTATGGTGTTTGCCCGTCTTCATTAGCCCAGTCGGCCCTGTAAGTAGGACGTTACGCCCCATTACATTTCGTTCTATTTTCTTATATTCAACATAGTTGCTTAAATTGTTTATAAAAGTATCGTATCTATTTACTCACCAGGGGAGATATATTAATATTACATCTCCTCATTTCCCATATTGGTAATAGGTATTTGATCATTTACCGTAACTGATGTTTTCCTATGAATTATTCATTTACAAAACTCCCCGAAACTAGTTATTGCACATATTAAATTTCGTATTCATTAAAAACATTACCGTAAAGTTTGTTTTGTTGATCGTATCATGCATCGTTGCATTTACAAAGATGGAAATACGCCCACACAGCAGTTTGTTTGGAAAAGATAGACAGAAGTTTATGCCAAAAGAAATCTCGGGTGTTGATTTGATCTCTATTGTGTTCACAAGCTTTCCCTAACAGGTAATATATCTCTGGAACAAAAAGTCTTAGAATGCTGAAAATTAGCCGAGTTCATTCTCTCCTATCCCAATGCTTCACACCAAAAATATCCATTAGACAATGATCGCATTCACGGGGTTTTCGGAAAATGTCACGGAAATGAAATGGGGTTTAACGTCCTACTGTTCTGCTCCGAACTGGACTAATGAAGACGAGCATGTGCCATACAGTATGCTATGAGGGAAATTTTGCCCGCACAGCGGCACTACGGCCTACTCTTATATCGAATTCCATCTGTCAAGGGATCTTTTACGTGCACGCCAATGTGTACAGGGGACCTCGGTTTTCCGTACCATCCGAACGACTAGACAGCTTTCCTTGTCAGGCATCACTGACAAAGTGGAACCACGCCGGTAAATCTGGATGAACTTTCTCGGCCAATGCAGGGATCGAACACCCGATCTCCAGGCTAGCGAGTCAGCGTCTTACCCACCTAGCCACCGAAAAAAAACCCAAGAATGTCACGGAACGTTGAAAATCGATAGGGCTCGTCGCTATGCTTCACATATTTTCTTTTACAAAATACGTTCAAACTGTAGCTTCTATCGCTTTTACAAAGTTTTCGGAAAAGGGGGTTCGTCCTCTCATCAACCCAACGCGTTCACAAGCCAATTATTGCGAGAACGACCGGGGCACTAAAATTTGGGCGTATAAAAGTGTATTTATACCAGCAGGCAATAATATCAAGAGTTTTTTTTTTATCTCACAATGACATAATTAGCCTGCATTTAAAGTATAGCCTATATTCCGCCTTCTAGATCAACTCGCACCACTTGTTTCAGTATGAATTGGCTAAGTTACACAAATCCACTGTTGACACAGTAAGCCAAGAATTAAATAAAAACTACTGAAAATAAATCTGACTCCTGCTTAATCTTTGGGGCAGAATAAAAAAAAGGCGAAAAATGGCCGGTAAATCAATGTCTTATTTCCCCTTCTTTTAGGCAGTAGGCTGTCGCTGTTTTCGGTGGATCAGAGACACTATAAAAACCGTACTAAAAAGTACAGATCGAGGGACATAACTTTTTCTAAACTATTCTGGATGCAGACCACCATATTATTTGTACATATCGTTGTCTTTTATATAAATAGCGATTCTCTCCCATTTTGCATGGTCATCTGTGTTTATTTTATTGATTAGAAGCGAAGAAGAAGGTTTGAATTAACATTTTCAGTCAGGTTTTGGTAAAAATGCATGGTTTAGAGGTGGAAGGTTAACGACAGGGTTAAGTATTCTACATACATGTACATACAGATGGGTCAAAAAATTATAGACGACATAATCAGGATTCAAGGCATACTCCATACAGTTTAGCCCCCTCCTTCCCCCCGCTTAACTATTCTCGCTATTCTCGGTCGGTAGTTAGAAGATTATAACCTGAACTCATTGAGTACTAGTTTATGCTAGTTTCCTACTATCATGATTCACGCTACGATTGAAATCATGGTTTCAATCATGAAGATCCTATCAGGTCTTATCATATATTGAGGTGAGTCCTAGCAATCGTGTCGTTAGCATCGAAACATATCCGAATGTATCTGACAAGATCGTGGACTTAATAAGGACAATTCTATCGTAATGCATCTCACAAGTTAGTAGGTTAATCTGTATTCACCAAGTACATTGGTTTTTCATCCGTCTGGAACTACTGGAATTTGGTTGAAGTTATCTTATCTGATAATATAGTATAAGTGTAATATAATAATTGAAACACAGAACAACTGAAAACAACCTTATACTGTATTAGAAGTAAATTCAGAAAATATTTTTAACAACTACATAACATTAGGACACTATGAAATATGAATGTTATATGGAAGACATTTGATTAATAAGACATCATGGTAAACATATTGTATATACAATTTGTATGAAACTTGGTTACAGAAATATAAATGAAGAATCTAGGGGAAGAACGATCTAAGTCACATTTTTGTCTTTTCACATAAAAGGCAAAACAGACTTCTGGACAAGAATGCCTGACACGAATAGAACAACGCATGGGTTTAATTACAACTTTAAAATGATGTTTAATACGAATCATAATTACCAGTACAACAACTGACTTCCACTTTTCAGCCAAGTTAAGGTCAAATAAATGGTACGATGGACGTATTTGTCCGGGAGGCCATTTGAGAAGGGCCTTGGTTCAATGTGACTCCAATTGTTTTTACCTGAAATTGATTGTTCCACAGAAAGCTTATACAATTTTCTACCAGATGGCACCATTAACTGGGGTTCGTTGAAAAAGTGACCTAGATCGTTTTTCCCCGGGGCTCTTCAAATGTTTTTTTCGTACACTACACTCTGTATTATTATTAAAATTGATTGAGCTTTGTTCCTTTCAAAGTTCGATAATTTGAGCACATATGTTATAGGAATATATATCTATTAAATAGAAAATATCTTTACAAATAAATAAACAGCATATACTAAGTTTGAGCTTTTGAGTATTACCAGTTGAACAAGTAAATATGCTTGTACACTGGAACATCACAATAATAATGCTGTTTGCTTAAAGGCAAGGTTTTTAGGGGCATATCTAGCAAATACCACCACCAAAACCTTTTTTTTATATCACACATGTTCAACAGCTAATTTAATCACCCCAAATACTGCTCTTTTGGTAGTATTTAACTTTTAAAAAATACCCAAACAATTTACATTTTAGAAAATAATATGAATCCAAACTCTTAAATGTAGCATTAAATTGGATTGTTATTTCAATAAACTTTTATAAAATTGCACATTAATAAAATAAGGTCCGACAAAATAAAATCTTCGATGAGATTTCAGCTTGGACAGATTGTTTTTCTTTAAATTATCACTATCAAAAGTCAAATTCGATTGTTAATAAGAAATATCATAAATTTATAATCTATTAAACATTAAAGCAGATCTAAATCTTCCCTATAAGTTTCTCACTATAATATTGTTCACATCACCAAACAGTGCATTTTTTCCCTGGATTCATAGGCGAATTGGCTGGACAATTAAAGGCACTTGAAAACTGAGGAAAATTTGACAGTGATCCAATTATTCTGAAAAAAAAAATATTATGAAACAAAATGTATTTTTTAATATAAGAGATAAGGTGGCTATGAAGACCTGGTTATCCCGAATGTCAGGGACTAGTTTCGTTCGTATTGAATTCTTCAGACTGATTGGACTCACGTGTTGGGTGTTTTTATTTATACTATTCCGGCAGGGTTACCGGGGTTGCGGCTTGGCGGGGTTTGCGAATTAGTTACCAGGGTCGATAGCTCGCTTACCGGGGTTGTACACAGGTTTGACAAATTGGCGGGGTGCCTAATTTGTTACCGGGGTCGCTAGCTCGCTTACTGGGGTTGTACTGATCGTGTAGATTGAAGTGCTAGTGTCCATAATTTTGCCTCGGAATCAACCACCATTTTGACGGAAGATAATCTCTCGGCTAAAAAATCTTCTTTTTCTCTCAGCTACGAGAGATACGTAGAATCAAACCGGTCCAGAGCCGATCGTGTTGATAAGAATCTGCTTCTTTGACATTGACATAAAACCGAAGGTGAATAGGCCTACTCGTCCAGTTAATACAACGGACAATCTCACATCGGTCCACATAAGAGAGACACATATTAGTCACCTCCCACTTCCGATTTCCAAGGCATTATAGTCTAAACCTTGACTCTCATACCAATCCACCATTTGGTACTATTTCGTACCTATTTCATATTAAACCCCTCGGGCGCCATGTTGAATCACACAGTATTTAACGTTCTAAAACCTAACTACTTCATGGAATCAACCACAAATCTAAACTTGGGCACTCCAACCATTTTTATTTTTGTATCAAAATGTATTTTTTATTGAAATAAAAACTGTTTACTTAAAACAAATATCAGTATGTAAATTATAACCATATATTTGTACTATTATCATACATTATGTATTGTAAGTAAGTGAATGGTACTATAATGATACAATACATAGTGTACTGTAAGTAAGTGAATGTCAGTATTGTAAGTAAGTGAATGGTACTATAAGTGGTGTATTGTAAGTAAGTGAATGTAACAATAACATACGTGGTGTATTGTAATTAAGTGCATTGTATTGTAGTGATACTATAAGTGGTGTATTGTAAGTGAATGGTACTGTAATGATACTATAAGTGGTGTATTGTAAGTGAATGGTACTGTAATGATACTATAAGTAGTGTATTGTAAGTGAATGGTACTGTAATGATACTATAAGTGGTGTATTGTAAGTAAATGAATGTAAGTATGATTATGTAACTCATGAGAAAAAAGTGAACAAGTCCTACCTATATCTATGAAGAGAATGTACATCAGACATTATACTCAGTTTTGTCTGTTGAGCTGTATTTAATGAACACCATGCCTTTAATTATAAAAGTTAAAAACAACCTTTACATTTTTCAAAGAGAGACAATCCAAATTGGCTTTATGATGAAGGGGTATAATATATTCTTCTAAAACATACTTTTTACCTGGATATTTTTATAAGCTGTACCGTTTCTTCACATCAGAGTTGGCACATGTATATTTTTTGTATACTTCTTCCTATACCTTATTTCTGAGAAATAATGTTCATGAAGAAAATGTACAAAAAAACAATTAGTACATTTTCTTCCTGACAGGGTTTCAGAATTTAGTTATTATCTGCCCATTGCAAAAGGAAGAATATATACCCCTGAAATGATGTCGTAAATATGATTTGCACCTATGACAAAAATACCAATGAACAATTTATTAACTGTCATCCACTGAATATATATGTATCTATGAATTCATCATAAAGGAATGGACCAGAATCGCATTTAATGTCTCGTCAACATTTTGAGACTAATTAGTTATTTTTATTCATTAGAAATGTTTCTTAAATCCAATTAAAATTAGATGGTTGGTTATTCTAAAAACAAATTAAGAAAGGCGTGTTCTAGACCTGTGACGACAATCAATAATCAATTTTCAAGAACATTTTCACAGAATTTTCTGTAGGCCTATTGATTGGTGGGTTGATCTGGAGTTGACCAATCACAAGGTGGCTTGTACATAGATAAAATGAGTAAACACCATAATCTTACCTGAGCAAAACCTAGAAACAATAGTTGGTCATCTGATAGATCAGCAAGACCAGGTAGTTGTATATTACTTGTGTGACCAGATAATTTATACGCCATATAACCAAACTTTATACCACCATTATCAGCTATATTCTCAGACAGAGTATATTCACCATTTAACTAAAAACAAAATATATATTATCAGCTATATTCTCAGACAAGGTATATTCATCATTTCATATTATCAGCTACATTCTCAGACAGAGTATATTCACCATTTAATATATATTATCAGCTACATTCTCAGACAAGGTATATTCACCATTTAATATATATTATCAGCTACATTCTCAGACAGAGTATATTTACCATTTAATATATATTATCAGCTACATTCTCAGACAGAGTATATTCACCATTTAATATATATTATCAGCTACATTCTCAGACAAGGTATATTCACCATTTAATATATGTTATCAGTTACATTCTCAGATAGGGTATATTCACCATTTAATATGTTATCAGCTACATTCTCAGACAGAGTATATTCACCATTTAATATACTATTCAAAAAAAGGAGGGGATATTTGATTTTGGGGGCATAATACTAAAATATGAAAATGACTACGAAAAAAGTCACTATAGAACCTAACAGAAGAAACATTTCCAGTTACATGTGACGCCCAAACGCACCAATAGATACCGCATGGAATGCAGGTGATGCTTGGGATCATCATGGGGGTCCAACCCAAGATTTGCACGACTCTGACTTTGAATGTTACAGTCATTGTGGCATTGAATTCCAGGGTGGAAACATCAGTTTAATTGTTTTAGTGACCAGAAAACAAATTTTGATATGCGTCGGCTTACCCAAAATGAAAGGTTACGTGCCCTTGGCATGCTACAGATCGGCACAACACAGGCCGAGGGATCGTCAACACTGGGATAATCGATGCTGGAGCAATGTGATGTTTTCAGATGAGTCAAGGTTCACTGTTGATTTTTTGGACAGACGTAGGAGGGTGTGGCGTCGTCGAAACGAGCGCTTCCAAGACGTTAACGTCATCAGACATGATCGATTTGGGGGTGGTTCTGTTATGGTGTGGGGAGGCATCACTGTTGCTGGAAGAACGGCTTTACATGTTGTTGCAGGGCGTGTTACAGGCCAGTACTACCGGGACAACATCTTGGCAGTCCATGTTGTGCCGTTCGCACGACGTCATGGCCGCCGTTTCATCTTCCAGGATGATAACGCAAGATGTCACAGGGCCAGGATCGTTACAGGTTACCTCCAACAACAGAACATCACCACATTACCTTGGCCAGCACTGAGTCCCGACCTCTCCCCCATCGAGCATGTCTGGGACATGCTTGGAGAGGTAACGTCAACGTCAACAACGTCCTGCCAATGTCCAAGAACTTGCTGCTGCGTTGCAACAGGAATGGGACAATCTGGACCAAAATGACCTTAGACGTCTCATTAGGAGTATGCCACGTCGGATCAATGCTTGTTTGGCAAACAGAGGAGGATTTACCCGTTACTGACTTGGTTGTGATGCTGTGGTAACTTTGCTGTTTGACCCCGGGTATCATTTTACCCTTATAATGGTCAGTCTGTGCCTTACTTAATCTAACGATCATTTGGAATAAATCGTTTGTTTCTTCGTCAGTTTCATTAGGTGACTTTAATAACACTTAAAAATCAAATATCCCCTACTTTTTTTGAATAGTATATATGTTATCAGCTACATTCTCAGACAGAGTATATTCACCATTTAATATATGTTATCAGCTGTATACTCAGATAGAGTATATTCACCATTTAACTACAATCTGATTAAAATACAAATCTATATTTCATTTAGTTTTTTCATACTTTCGATGGTCTACACTACAGGAAGATCTGACCAGTTGTAGTGGAGGTCATACGAGCGGCTTTTGAACCTATGACGTCAGACATTGGATTAACCAATCAGCGTTGCTGTTTCTAGTGTAGTACCCACGGTTCTGTGCAACTCACGCCAAAAACTCGCAGTAACAGACCGTTCCATTGGCAAATCCATCACATAATCTAGAACACAGCTTATATAACAACTTTTCCAGATCCTAGTATAGTAAAGACACGTAAAACGAAATTTTGAACTATAAAAAACGAAATGAAATAGGATCTGTGTTTTAACGAAACCATATATATATATATATATATATATATATATATATATAAATATATATATATATATATATATATATATATATATATATATTATCAACTATATTCTCAGATAGTGTATATTCACCATTAAACTTAAACACTTATATATATTTTTCTCATTAATTAAATGGGTGAGAACAAACAGAAATTTGTGATTTAGTTATATTCTGGACATTAGTAAGAATTACGCATTGAATCCAACTATTTCTGATAAGTAGTTTTAACTTTTAACGCTAACTCATAACTGTCATGATTTATGAAATTTTGTTAATATGCATAGGACTGGAATGAAAATGACCATATGCCATGTAGTGTGCAAGAGGGAAATTCTCCCCAGACAACTGCTCAATGGCATACTCTTATATCAATTTCTAACTGTACACATCTTTAATGTGCTGCCATTTTTCATTGACATGGCTTCCATCCGGCACTAATAACAAGGCGGAAACTAAGATTGACAATCCAGAGAAACTTTCTTGAGTGTACACCGGCATCAGACTCAGGAAAGACCTCCTGGTTAGTCAGCCAGCACCATACTCACAAGCTACTGTGCCACCCCGCCCCCAAATGTCATCTAATACCATCTAAAGGAGTTTAGTAGATATACCTGTGTTCCATCCACACTGTATTTGCTGTACTGATCTTTCATACATTTTGATTTTTCTGTAAACTGTTCAGCTGATGAATTACTCCACCAATTTTTAAGATTACCATACTTATCAACTTTACGTCCTGAAATATTTTTCAATGTATATCTTTAAAACCACAAACCTATGCTACCCTGAGGCATACCAGTAAAGCTTGTTGTTCTTAGTGCTTAATGTCCGCTTCCACCGAGGGTGATATCGCAGACAAGTTGACTTATTTTTCATTTTTATTATCTTAACCCAGGGGTCTTTCCTTTGGGAGGAAACCGGAGTACCCGGAGTAAACCCATGAGGTTGAGAAGGTGCCCCTATCTCCAAGCCACATTCGCTCACACCAGGGATCAAAACCACTACCGCAAGCCAGAGGTGACCGGCTAGCTAGAGATCGAAGCGCGACACTCTAGACCACTAGGCTATCCCATCCCCCCTCCAGTAAAGCTTAACAATCTATTCTTAAATACTACATTTAATTTACTATTTATTACTCTACATATTTGGTTTAATAAGTAGTAACTATCTTACCATGATTATCAAAACCATGAGTTAATTCATGGCCAAATACCATACCTATTGAACCATATTTTATCATTCTGAAATAACAAGTACAAAATTACTATATGAACCAGGAACCGAGCATCGCAAACATCTTGGAATTGTGACGTCATCCCAAAAAATAAATTCTGTCAGTACGGAATTGTCGAAGAGCGGCGGCGCCTCCCCCACCAAGAAGGAAAACGAAATGAATAGCTTTTGGTGTCTAGTTTTTGGTCCAAAATTTCTAAAGACAGATAATAACACTCAGCTAATCCAGTATATATCGAAATGAAATGAAATGAAATGGGGTTTAATGTCCTACTGTTCTGCTCCGAACTGGGCTAATGAAGACGGCCATACAGTGTGCTATGAGGGAAATTTTGCCCGGACAGCGGCACTACGGCCTACTCTTATATCGAATTCCAACTGTCAAGTGATCTTTTACAGGCACGCCAATGTGTACACAGGACCTTGGTTTTTCGTGTCATCCGAATGACTAGACAGCTGTCCTTGTCAGGCCCTCCGTCCTGCATCACTGACACCCGACCTCCAGGCTAGCGAGCCAGCGTCTTACCCACTAAACCAGTGAGATCCCTCAGTATATATCAAGACAGATAATATATACTGAAAATACATTTTACATATATAACAACACAAAACTGTCAATTTCAATGGATCTTTTAGTGGAGTAATATATAATAAATTTTAAAATTTATCAGAGCTCAATCAGTTCAGATTTGGTTGGGATGGAAATATTTTTAGAAAATGATATCCTGTATCAATAGGTGACCAGATCTGTAGCGTGTCTTGATGTAGGTTTTTATTGGTTTAACTTTCTACTTTTCTGCACCATCAGGGTTAATGAAGCAGTTTGTACACCATACAGTGTGTTAGTAAGGACATTTTTCTTAGACAGTGGTGCTACAGACTACTCATATTTCAAATTCCAACTCTCAAGGTTTCTTTAAGTGTGGGGGGTTGGATGGCTGAATGGTTAGCATGTGCGTGCTGTATCATAAAGTCTGTCATTGAGTCAACTGGCGTGGTTTCGAATCTCCGATTGTACGTGACAAGGAGTAGGGTCGCCTGTCCAACCTCGTGGGTTTTCTCCGGGTCCTCTGGTTTCCTCCCACTGCTAAAGACCCCTCCGCGCAAGCGAATTATTGAAATAGAATTAAACCATACGTTAGTCCCGAAATGACCTAGTTTGTGTCGAGTGGACGTTAAACCCCATTTCTCTCTCTCTCTCTCTCTTCTTTAAGTGTACGCCAACATGCAGACAGCTAGAATTACTGTTTCCCTTCCAATCCGAATGACTAGACACGTGTCCTACTGATGAGGGGAAATCATGCTGGAAAATCCCCTGGGGAACTTTCTCAGTCATAACAGGAATCGAACACTGGACATCTTGGTTAGTTAGCCAGCGACATACTAACTGAGCCACTGTGGCTCCCTATTTTTGATGAAGATCAGTTATAGTTCAACATCATCACAAAATAAAACTTAAAATTAAATTGTTTTTCAGTTTATGACAAAGTAAACATGAAATACGTACATTGGCATGTTTGGATCATAGAAGGGTGGCTGTAGAATACCAGCAGGAAATACTATATCATTATTAGGTGGGTTATAATATGCATTGACTTGATCAGGTGACATTTCCCATCTAAAATAAACAATTTTAGGATAAGTAAATTTATAACCATTTATTGATGTATATTAGTAATTACTACACCTTTCATAATATATGTTAGATATTCTGACAACTGTTTAGTTTATTTATTGATGTATATTAGTAATTATTACACCCTAAACTGGAGGTTTCATAATATATGTTAGATATTCTGACAACAGTTTAGTTTATTTATTGATGTATATTAGTAATTATTACACCTATACTGGAAGTTTTTTATAATATACAGTGCACTCTGTCACATCCGACATCGTACGGGATCATTACAATATGTCGGATTATGCAGAGTGTCGGAATACCCAGTTTTCTCAAAACCGGAAATATTGTAACTTCGAAAACCGGAAGTATTATTGTAATGTAGCTTCGGACATAGAACTTCGAATCACCAGAATGTTATTCCCTTTAAAAATGATAAACCTTTCTGTACATTCAAAATTGTATTACATTAATTTTTATTTTATTTAACATGCGTAGGCATTTTGAATAGGCCAAGTCTGTCTTTAATTTATCTTCTTCGCCGTCTTGGGTTGATCGCACTCTTGTCTTTGCTATCACGCGTTCATTGATAATGGGCGTACTCGATTGAACGTTCTGGAATTGAATTCTCTCAATCCCAAAAATAGTGACTAGGTCAAGTCTGTCGTTAATTTATCTTCTTCGCCGTCTTGGGTTGATCGCACTCTTGTCTTTGCTATCACGCGTTCATTGATAATGGGCGTACTCGATTGAACGTTCTGGAATTGAATTCTCTCAATCCCAAAAATAGTGACTAGGTCAAGTCTGTCGTTAAGTTATCTTCTTCGCCGTTTTCAGTTGATCGCACTCTTGTCTTTGCTATCACGTGTTCATTGATAATGGGCGTACTCGATTGTACGTTCCGGAATTGAATTCTCTCAATCCCAAAAATGGTGTCAATTGGGTGAAATTGGGTAATTTGGGCTACAACGGATGCGTCGACTGGATATATAAATATCTCATCCAACCATGCAGCCGCAACCTGTTCGTCGCGTTTAATTACATCACAATTCTACTCACACAACCTCTGTCGTTGAGACTGACAGAACTGTGACAGGACTGAATTCCGCGTCACTCGATTGCAATTCTGTCAATTCGGGACGTTCCGGACTGTGAATCGAGCATCCCCAGGTCGTCGTCACACGGTTCGAAGAGATCCGTAAGGTGACCAAACTTATAGGTTATTCAGGTTCAATCGGCATGCGCAACAAATGTTTCCAACGGGTGCTAGGAATATTTTTACGACTGTGAATTCGGGGGAAAATTAGTGAATATTCTTGAGTATTTGTCACAACTGTCGTACAAGAGATTAGAACTATCAAAGTAATCAACAAAGACCCCCGGTAGCGAGTTTTAATCTCACAGATAATTGATTGGTGATTGCTTGTTAATCTTTTGTGGCTTCACACCCATCCAGTTTTAATCTCACGGATAATTGATCGGTAAGTGTTTGCTTCACACCCACCGATTGAAGGCTGGATTATACGGTGTCGATTCAATGGAAATCGTATGACGGGACGGCTGATTGAACTCGTAATCCGGAACGTACAGAGGTCGTAATAACCAGAGATTGTTTGGCTGAAGTAATAAGGAAATAAATCGGGACACGAAAATGGTGTCAGATGTGACAGAGTGCCGGAATGATCAGAGGTCGGATGTGACAGAGTGCACTGTATGTTACATATTTATTGATGTATATTAGTAATTATTACACCTTAAACTGGAGGTTTCATAATATATGTTATATATTTATTGAATGTTCTTAAAATGGTGTCATTTTGAATTAAAAGAAAGTGCAACATATATTATTAACACCTTGTATAAAGATATTTACTTAAAACAAAATCATAACTTCAATATCATAATTTTCAATTTAAAGAAACACACTTCAAACTTCAATAGGTCACTTTGATATGATGAAAGCCAGTCTATGAAATAAATGTTGAAAAAAGCAGAGGATGCACTGAGGATATGCCAACAATCTGACATTTGTGGGCATATAACACCAAGAAACAATCCAAAAAGGCTACAAAATTGAAAGAAAGCAACAATTTTGTCATGTTAATTGAATAGAATACAGTGTACAATATCATATTAAGTAAAAGCATCATTTTAAGTAAAATTTCAGTGTAATTGCACCAATTACAAAGAAAAAAAAAATGAAACCAAACTCACTCAGTCCTATCAGGTGGTTTGTGTAATTTTTCAATGTTTTTCATCACATCAAAGCTTCTCAAGGCTAAATGACTAAGCAGAAAATGACCTTCCGTTATATTTATCTGAAAATGATGAATTCAAAATTAAAACTTATAGCTAATTTAAAATTTAAATTTATCACATCCTTTTGAAGACGAGAAAAAAAGAGGAAAATAAAAAGAAATAATCATAGCTCTACCCTGCATCTCATCAAATATTGTCAGAGCTTTCTCCTGTATCCAGTTCACAAGTTTGAAAAGTAATAATGTGAACGGAAAGATATCTCTATAAAAAGCATTCGTAACTTCTGAGCAGACGCCCTGATGAACAATCTCATGAAATTCTTAAAAAGTTATTCAAAAAATTTATTCTGTATTGTGTTTACAAGATTTCATAAATTTTATTGAATAGAGGTAACTGGGTGCTTTGTAATTGAAAAATTTGGTATTTCAAAAGGATTCTTTTTACAGTTAAAATGAACAATTCCAAAATGCCATCAAGAACCTTATCCTATATTGAGTTCACACAAGCTTTAAAAGTCTGACGGTGAAGGAAAAAATAACCCCACAAAATGTGTATATATGTGATAGGGTTCATCCTTACACAATAATAATCTATCCCACCAAGTTTCATAAAATTATATTATAACTCTGACTTGGATCACAGAAGCTGTAAATCAAAACATGTTGGGGAGTTAAAGCTATGACCCACTGCAGTGAAGTTGGTATTCCAGTACTTACATTTTCATAATATTCATCTAGTTTTTCTGGTTGTAGAATCCAATCTGGGAATCCAATCATATTTCCCACAGCTTTAGCTTTATCTATAGCTATCTGTTTGGTTTCTTCATCCATCCAGGTTAAATCTTCTAATCCATTAATAAAGGCTTTTTTAACATTATTCAACATTTCATCAACCTGTATTAAATAAATGTATAAAAATAATAAAGAACTGAACAAAATCTAGACATACAAAAAGTAAATGACTTTAGAACAGTTCTGCTTTGCATGGCATCACACAATTGGTATCTTTCTAGAAAGACATTGATGAAATATATTGTAGACGGCCTTTTGCTGTAGCAACGCTTACATGCCTGCTTGCTACAGGCCATTGCAAACAGTTGATACTCGCGGCAGTTTTAATTTTGTTGTCTGAACTGAAGACAGTTACTGTACACATCTAATCACCTTCTGAGAAGAATGTAAAATTTCTGTAGGATATGCGAACATGAAGAAATCTCAAACCAGCGATATCAGACCATAGTCCATGTGAATGCTATAATAGCCTTAATTAAAATTGCTCTACATAAAGCAGAAATAACAACAGCAATAAAAATATTACCTCTTTTCTGTTATCTTTAGAGAACTTTTTGTTTACATAGAGTGCTCCTGTAACAAAACCTAGTTGATTACTCGTTTTACCAACACATCTCTTCCATCTTGGTGCTATATCTTTTACTCCTGATTCAACCTTTGATAACCCTAACGCTGCATTCGTAAATTCACCTGGTAAGTAGGCGGGTAGCGCTTGAAGCATATTCCATACAACATAGTTAGCTAATACTCTATAAAACAGGAATAGATTCACAGTAAATAAAAATGTTAATGTACTTCTCTATTTGAGGATTAATGGGTCAAATATCTTTTGGATTGTAAAATATGATCTATTGGCTGGAGCATTTTTACTAAAATGCGTAAATTTGTACTAAAATGGTTTGATTATTGGACTGTATTTTTAGTCAGAGAGGATTAGGAGAATTGTTCTACTGAATATAAGTGGGGGTGGGGGGTGGCCGAATGGTTAGCGCTGTATCATATGGTCTGTCATTGAGTCAACTGGCATGGTTTCGGTTCCCCAGTTGTACGTGACAAGGAGTAGGGTCACCTGTCAAACCTTGTGGGTTTTCTCCGGGTCCTCCTGTTTCCTCCCACTGCTTAAGACCCCTACGCGCAAGCAAATTATTGAAATAAAACTGAACCACGTATTAGTCCCGAAATGACGTTAAACCCCATTTCTCTCTCTCTCTGTGAATATAAGGTGTTTATCAACTTACTCTCTATCTGTATTCGCTAGTAATAATCCCAGTTTACGGAAATATGGTGGTGTTGTGACAATTATCTTGGTACTGGTACTTATATTACTCTTTGTGATTCGATCTAGATATCTCTTTATATCAATCTAAAACAAACAATCATAAAATACTTGTCTTACATCTCATTGTAATCATTCATAAAATATTCCTAGTTGTCTGAGTAACTTATATAGCTTAATTACGGGTAACCTAGATGCAGAACAAGACACACAATACAAAATGAAATGAAATGGGGTTTAACTTCCTACTGTTCTGCTCCTACTAAATGAAGAAAGGCATACGCCAGACATTTTGCCCAAACAGCAGTCCTACAGCCTACTCTTATTTCAAATTCCAACTGTCAATGGTTCTTTTGAGTGCACGCCAATGTGTAACAGGACCTCCATTTTTCATCCCATCCAAATGATTATACCTTGTACCTTGCCAGGCACTCCGTCCAACAAAGGGATTGAACACAGGACCTTCAGGTTAGCGAGACAATGTCTTACTCACTGAGCCACCATAGCTCCCCGACACACCATACACAGACATTTAAGTAATAAATAATAAAAGTACTATCAAATTAAAATGAAATGAGGTTTAATATCACTATCAAATCAAGGGAATGGGTTTGACTGTAAATGTCCACTGCAATACAGGCTTCACATAAAATTGATAAAATCTCACAAAAAGGGAGAGAACCCAAATTACAAAGCACTAAACAGGGAGTTAATTTACTATTATGGACACTATCTATGTGATTGTTCATCAATATATATATACCTGCTCATTAAGCATATTTTGTAAATCAGCAACAGTTATTTTGTGGTAGGTTTTTTCTATATCTATCAATTCTTCTTTTGGAACAAAAATCTGAAAAATAACAAATAATCATACGTCAGTACTTGAAACACATATGCGCTAGGTGTCTCCAAACTATATTTGACTTCAACATGTACATGTATATATCTCATTATATCATGTTATTTCAATATATTATTCCATGTAAAATATATTTTTGTATTCATGTATATTGATGTATGTGTATGTTTTGTATACTGTTCTTAATGGACGTAATATGCAAATAAAAATGTTGAAGTTGAAAGTTGTGATTGCAATCGTATTGTTGATGCATACACACTTAGCAATACCGTTTGTTTTCTTTTGAACCCCGTTATATTTTGAACACATTTCCTAGATTTTATTATTATATTTTGAATGGTAGTATGTTTTAAAATAAAGATTAAACAAGCCATACATATTTATTAATGTCACTGGGTAAATGGAATAGCATAAGTAATTTTTTGGATGAAAAATAAAGGCTGAAAAGTGTGCAATAACTTTTTTGTGTGAGTGCCATTTAGCGGAAGATATCACACAAGAGAATGCAACAGTTTCTGACCTTTGTACACTTATAAGTAGGAAGAGAGAGAAAGGGGGTTTAACATTCACTCAATTTAACACAAACTAGGTCATTCCTTGGCTAACTTATATGCTTCAATTTTATTTCAATAATTTCCTTACATGTAGGTGTCTTTAACAGTGGGATGAAACTGGAGTACCCGGAGAATACCCACGAGGTTAGACAGACGAACTTATAAGTGGATGCAGAGTATAAAACTTGTAACTGAAGAATATGATAATATTTACCTCGGCCAAACTTTTCTCAAAATCATACAATTTATTCATTTTATCTGTAACCGAATCATCAGCTCCTAAAAGACGTCCATATTGTATTGCAAAATCCAAAAATCCCTTTTTGTATTTTTCAGCATTTTTAATATATTCTTCTCGTTGTCTCAAAGTTAAACCAGCTTGACTAATCTGAAATATAGAAATGAAATGAAATGGGGTTGAACGCTCGACTTTTTCTGCAATGACTGTGAGCTAATGAAGATGAGCATGGGACATACAGTGTGCTACAGGGGTAATAGACCGGAGGCTCAGCGCGGGGGGGGGGGGGGGGGGGGGTCCATTAAATGGACATTTCTATGGAAAGTGTGATTACTTTCGATCATTTTCAGCTTATTTTCTTGATACAAGAATGACTGCGCATTCACTTTCAGTGCAAATGAACCCATTTGACCTTTGACCTCAAATATCTCTAAAACGCCCCAACGGTGGACTGATTACCACTCGGCATCGTATTCTATGCAAAATTTTACTCTAGAAAAGTCGGGTCTGGTTTTGTGCCCATTTGATGGACACACCCCCCGCACTGAGCCTCCAGACTATCAGTTTGTCCGGACACCGGCACTACTTCCTACTCTTATTTTGAATTCAAACTTTCAAGGGTTCTTTTATGTGCATGCTAATATGTACCTGGGACATGCATTTTATCCCATCCGAATGACTAGACACCGTTCTATGTCAGGTCCTCTGTCCTACACCACTGACAAGGCGAAACCAAGCACGCTGGAAGTCCAGAGGAACTTTCTTGACCAACACCGGAGGCAAACCCCGAGACCTCCACACACACAAATGTGGACCTTGCTTTATGTCCCATTCTAACGACTAAGCACATCTTCCATGCGAACTTTGCAGTTGCCACCTCTGCGAGTGAATAGACCAGGTTTAAAAATTCCTAAACCCAGGAAGTTCTAGTCAACAGTCCTGGATTACCACTGTCCCTTGGAAGAACAACTGTATGATCTTGAGCATGTGATATAGTTCCAAATGAATATCTGTCTTATTTAGGAGGTACTATGTTTGTAATGTAAATTTTTGGTAAATTCATTGCATAAGGATATAATGTCTACAGATTAGAGGTATTAGAAATTTCAACAAGAAAATAAATATAATCAATATCAGAGAATGTCATATTCAAAATACCCCAACTCCAAGCCTGGAACTAAGGCAACTGTCACAGATAATGTCCATCACAAATTTAGGCTTTGCCAGGCACACAAAACCTCCTCTTCCTCTCACTTTGTCCAGGACTGTTTTTTTTTATTTTTATTGATATGTCCGGCAAAAAATTTAATATGTCAAGTACCAGTTTATTAGTGGCCTGTCTGACTGGTTAAGCAATGGATTGACAGACTACCTTTCCCAAATTCAGCATTATATCTCATTTGAACACCCTGATAAACTCTACAGTAAAAATCACGACAAATCGAAAAAAAATCATTTTTTTTCCAATCATCTAAGATCTCCCAAGTTCTAATGCCTTTTTATATATAGATTCTTCAAATACAACTGACCTGCATTATGTTGGCACTACTGTTTTTAGAATCTTGTTGTACATACATAAATAATAATGGATGTATGCCTAGACTAGCGGAACTAGATATAGCTGTTGTTAAATCCCAGGTCTCATTGTTCCATGTACCCGATACAGCATCTGTTGTTACTGTCCAGGATCCCAATTTATTGATAAGCTGTAAAAATAATTTCTAATTAATGACCATCGTCATTGCTTGTTACATCTTGTTCACAATTTAAAATATTGGTACATACAAACTGTGAGTGTATCAAACGTTATTTACAACTGGTGTTTATTGTATTCACAACCAGTAACAATTACAAAATTCAGATGATTTAATGGATCTTGTTCAATTATGATTAGGACAATTCTTTGACCAATTGAAAGCTGTCTATCATTATAGACAGTAGAAACATGGGTAAACTTTTGCAAACATATGGGCCGGTATCCTAATGTACAGAACCAAGAAATATCGTACAGACATATGGGGTTAAATGTCCACTCGATACAGACTAGGCTAATTTGAGCCCAGTATATTATGATACAATATCCTACAGACATAACACCGATAGAGGGAAATGGGGTTTAATGTCCACTCGATACAGATTAGGACAATTTGAGCCTAATATATGGTACAATTTTATTTCTGTAATTCGCTTGCACGTAAGGATTTTTAGCAGAGGCAGAAAACAGTAGAACCTGGAGAAACCCATGAGGTTGGGAAAGTGTGGGATCCAAACTACCAAACTATGCCACTTGACTAAAATTACAGATCTTATGATCTAAAGCTTGAAATTTAGCTCCCCCCACCCCCACCCCCGCCCTCACTGTCATCTACTTAATTTTCAAACCAAGATAGATTGTTGTAAGATAATTTACCTTTAAGACTTCAGTTGTACCTAATTTCTCTATTTGTTCTGCATTCATGCACATTTGATAAAATTCCTTAGCTTTCTTAACTGCTTCAGAATTGAGCTCTCCATTTTCTTCAGTTAACAACTATAAATAAGAGAGATATCATTTTACAGTATTCTCTCTCTCTCACTGTTTCTTCCAGTGGAGGTTCAGTATATTTATTGTAGAAGAACGGTCTATGGTTGGCTCTATTAAGTCATGTACAAGCCAATAATTCTTTTTTTTCAAAATAGGTCTGGCTTGCTTAAGTCGTCTGCAGAGGAAGCTGAATGTTACGAAATTTTCAGTCCATCAAATCTTTGTATATCTTGAACGGAACGGAACCATGTTTTGACTGATATTTTTTCTAGTGATTAAATGGTAGTTTGCAAGGGATTTAAAATCCCTCTTTGGGGATACTCTCAATCGCAAAAATAGTGACAACCGAGTGAAAGGGGGATTTCGGGCAATAACGCATGTACCGACTGCATAAGAAAATATCTCATTCTCAACCAACCACGACAGCTGAAACATATTGCTTGTGTATAATTATGTCACGCTTCTACTCACACCACATTTTTTGTGGGGACTGACAGAACTGTGACAGGACTGAATTCTGTGTCACCTGATTTCAATTTTGTCAATTCGGAATAAACTGGACAGGCAATCGAGCATCCCTTTAACTTACCTGCTGTGTAATTAAATTAATTTTTTCATATGAAGTATAGAATGTATTATATGACGATGTGTCTGGAGGTATTATAGCATTATTAATCCATTTTCCACATGCATATTCATAAAAGTCTGTACAAGGATCAACGGATAAATTCATCATAGCTATAATAGAGCCACTGTTCATCACACACTGTTCTGTTAGACATGGTTGATCTACCTAAAAAATAAAATTCCAATTTTTTTGCTAGAAAATAAAATACAAATTTCTTTGCTAGAAAATAAAATACCAATTTCTATGCTGGTAAGCATAAAAGAATGTCACTGCCTATGCAAAATTCACAACCGAGAGAGAGAGAGAGAAAGAGAGAGAGAGCGAGATTGGGTTTAATGTCCCCTCAACACAAATTAGGTCGTTCTGGCAGTCACATATGGTCTTTAGCAGTGGAGGAAACTGGAGAGCACAGAGAAAAGCCCTTGATCTTTTGATCTAAAGCATACGAGTTAGATCATTCCCACCCCCCACCACAGCCCCATGGTAGTTGCAAAATGATCTAATACATATATATGAAAGATGTTTACAAAATGTTTTATGCACTCCATCTTTGATTGGGTGAAAAATAAAATTGTCAGTTTCAATGGATTTTATATGTTTGGTGTAATAACAGTCTGTCTTAGTTCCAAATGTTACATCAATAGATAAAGCATATGAAATGAAATGTGGTTTAACGTCCTACTGTTCTGCTCCGACTGGGCTAATGAAGAAGGGATAAAGCATATAATCAAGTGTATGTTACTGTATCGATATGGTAAGCCAAAAAAATGAATGAGTAAAACAAAACTTATATATATATATATTATAATCAATATAATACTATTTCATTCCAATCAAAGTTAAAGTAGTCATATTGTTATTAATTTACAAAAAAACAAACAACCGCATCCAGCCACTGTACGGAGTTAAAGTAGCTAAGTCTCTAACTCAATATCATCAAAAATCTTCAACATTGAAAACACGATTTATTTGTCGGTTTAAATCAACATTGATGTTGTGATCTTACCGGGAAAAGACGGCCTTCTGATATCTAAGACTAATATTTAAGACAAAATAAACATTTTACAATTGGTACACGAATCGTGTACCATAATGCGTTTCAGAGCTATTTGTAATAAGGGACTCGAAAAACGAGGCTAAGCATATTCCACAAGTCATGTCAAACGGTGACACTATATTCTTATCTGAAGAGCATGCCCAATAAATACTATCGGCGTAGACTGGAATAACCAGAAGCTAGAGATTGAAATTCGATTGAGAATACTGGCGTATGTCGCTGAACCTAACTGATTAGAAATTACAGTAAAAAAGAAACGATTGAATGTAAATCAATTTATATACATTCATATTACATTATTGTATGCGTTGCGACCCATTTGTGTCAATTTCTAGGTCCCAAATATTAGCGACTTAGCTCCTTTAAAATATCATCTATAAAATTTTTGAATCTTAAAAACTCCACATTCCTCAAGTACAACTTTAAAAACTCTAATTCTTTAATTTGTTTACTGTAAGTGGCATCATAGAGAGATAATCTATGGCCATTAATCAAGAAGTTTGTAAGTATAAGAGTATGTTAGAATTTCTAAATAAATATGTATATTCAACAATAAGTACGATTAAAAAGCTACTTTATGATGACACCTCATTCTGACTTACATAGATTAATTACGACTTTAAAACTGTTTGCCATGTTGTGGTCATTTATTCAAAGAAGGTAAATTTTTAACCAACCTTTTGTGCACATGTCAAAACTCTAAACAACACAATCCACACACAACATCGAATCATATTATCGGAACTTGCTTTGTTATAATAAATCGACAGTAGAAATGTAATAACTTATATACCTTACAATTAACATTCAGAATTTTTAAAAAAAACACACACAATAAAATAATTAAATGGGCTATTAAATTTCCCTCATAACTTATACTGAAGGACAAACAAGATTCAAAATCAATATTTTACAGCAGGTTATCAAACCTGTAGTGGTTATAGTGGATATACCCTGTATATTATCATAAATGGTGTGTGAAATCAGTCTATTATATCTGACATTTTCACCATTATATCGACTTAACATTGAAATATTTGCAATAGCTAGAATATAAATTATTGACTGGAATATAACCTTTAGTTGAAGTCAATCGTATATGTTACATTGTTTTTGGAATCGCAGAGGGTCTGTCCAAAGTATATATTACTAACAATTAAAAGTACCCCCCAAAAGCAAAATCTAATTTTTGATGTCATAAAATTGGCAAATTACATTTCCACTAGTAAATTATTCAAATGTACCGTACATTAAGATATTGCATTTGGGAATAAGGAAGAACTCAGTATATTGAGATCACATAGCTCTATTTCTTCCAGTATATTTTTATGCCAGTATAGCTCTATTTCTTCCAGTATGTTTTTATGCCAGTATAGCTCTATTTCTTCCAGTATGTTTTTATATCATCATCATATTTATCAAATATAAGGAGGAACCCTATCAAATTTAAGTACCAAACACTGAGATCCGCATAGCTATATTTTATGTCAATTTGGCTCTATGTCAGCCATCAAGACTCAAGAGCCTATTTCAGCCATAAAGACCCTAATACAGCCATCAAGACCCTATTTCACCCGGTAAACACAGTAATCTGGTTGTTAAGACAATGTGCTCCCTGGTATAATTTCTCATGTTGAGGTAGAGAGAGAGAGAGAAATGGAGTTTAACATCCACTCGACACAAACTAGGTCATTTCGGGACTAACATATGGTTTAATTTTATTTCAATAATTCGCTTGCGCGTAGGGGTCTTTAGCAGTGGGAGGAAACCGGAGAACCCGGAGAAAACCAACGAGGTTGGACAGGCGATCCTACTCCTTGCCACGTACAACCGGGGATTCGAAACCACGCCAGTTGACTCAATGACAGACTTTATGATACAGCGTGCACACGCTAACCATTCAGCCATCCAACCCCCCTCATGTTGAGGTACTCAGCTAGTAGATAGAACCGTGGGAGATTGTACCATGTGTTCTTGTTGCATTGAAACTACTATATCGGTTCATTATTTTTTTTCAAATCCACAAGCTTTATCCCTACCACACAAAAAATCTAACCCAGGGTGGGAATCATTTCAGAAATGGGTGGAGAGAGAGAGAGATGGGGTATAACGTCCACTCGACACAAACTAGGTCATTTCGGGACTAACACATGGTTCAATTTTATTTCAATAATTCGCATGGGCGTAGGGGTCTTTAGCAGTGGGAGGAAACCGGAGGACCCGGAGAAAACCCACGAGGTTGGACAGGCGACCCTACTCCTTGTTACGTACCCCGCCAGTTGATTCAATGACAGACCGTATGATACAGCGCGCGCGTGTTAACCATTCGGCCATCCAACCCCCCGGAATGGGTACAAGAATAAGGAACTTTTAAATACTCTTACTTGGTAAGTGTAACAATATATAACTTCAAAACAAAAAGAGAGAGAGAGAAATGGGGTTTAACGTCCACTTGACACAAACTAGGTCATTTCAGGTCTAACATATGGTTCAATTTTATTTCAATAATTCGCTTGCACGTAGGTGTCTTTTAGCAGTGGGAGAAAACCAGAAGACCTGGCGAAAACCCATGAGGTTGGACAGGCAGTCTTGCTCCTTGTCACATATACTAGCTGGTAATCAATATCATGCCAAATGACTCAATGACAGACCGTATGATTTAAATTGTACTCGTTAGACCACCCTTTAAAAAGAAGAGATGATATACTTACAGATTTTTTATTGTGTTTATCCCATAAAATGAAACCGGTCAACAATAATGTGGCAATAATCAATATAATCAAAGCTATAGGATAAATAGGACATTTCTTCTTTTTCCATCGAGATACTTTATCGCTCCGATCTGAAAAATCATATAATAAATGTTCATATACACTTATGGACCCCATATTAAACATTTATTAGTACATTCCATCAAGATACTTTATCAACTGATCTGAAAAATCATACAATAATCAGTATAATCAGAAGATTTCGTCATTTTCTACTGAGATATTTTATCAGTCTGATTCGAGAATCAGATACATGTAATTTATGTTTATAGACCCTGATAGACTCCATATTGTTCGATCCCTGCATTGGCCGAGAAAGTTCATCCAGATTTTCCGTCGGAGTTCCCCCTTGTCAGTGATGCAGGACGGAGGGTGACAAGGACAGATGTCTAGTCGTTCGGATGTGACAAAAAAACAAAGTCCTGTGTACACATTGGCGTGCACGTAAAAGATCCATTGACAGTTGGAATTCGATATAAGAGTAGGCCGTAGTGCCGCTGTCCGGTCAAAATTTCCCTCATAGCACACTGTATAGCGTATGCCCATCTTCATTAGCCCAGTTTGGAGCAGAACAGTAGGACGTTAAACCCCATTTCATTTCATTTCATTTCAGACTCCATATTGAATATTTCTTGTATATCTCATTAATTTATTATCAAATTCCATCCCAGATGCTTAAGGAAACTAAATATCCAAGATTTAAATCAAATTAAAGTATTGAATTGTATTGTTCTCATGTTTTATTTCAATTTAGTGAGGAGACTTGTTTACTAATTTTAGTTTCCTTTTTGGATTACTGTGTCAACAGTGGAAGACAAAGTCATTCATATCTTAACTGGGCTTGTTTCCTTAAACTTATATACATGTACATAAAAGTCAGAAAAAAGACTTAAGACATCTGTCTTTGTTAAAGATACATTATGTAAGAGAGCTGGCAGTTCTTGTTATACAAGTTAAAAACAAATAATGCAAAACGATTATATTGAAAATGTTATTCAAATTACTTTATTCTGGGCGAAGTTATCATTGTTTGTAGTTTTGACCAGATGTGTGCATTGATTGTTTACTATCTTAACCACCGTACAGGTTGTTCGAGACTTAGCCTCGCTTCTCCATTTTTAAATGAAATCATCAAATGGCCGAACCGATCTAATCTACTTAAATTCGGAGTCATCTGATGGCCTAGACAGTTGATAGTCTTGCACATATGCAGTTGACGTACAAAATCATTGATGTCATTTGAGTCTTTTATTGATAAAATGCTACAATATAGTTTTATGTATTTTATGTAATCATATGTTAGCAAAACATACTCATGTAAATACTCAATTATGGCAGTCATATAATGTACTTCAGTGAAGTTACTGAAATGAGATCCTGGAGAATAATTGTGCCCAATAAAAACAAAATATGTGGCCGACATTTTTAGAGACAGGTGATTTATTTCTAGGCTCAGTTGAATTAAATGATATATGTAGGCCTACATTATGTTAGCGAAATTGGAATTATCTTGGTGAGATTAGCATTATCTTATATCAATTAATTGGTATTAAGCCTAACACTTATTGATACCTCGATCATTTTTAATGAAAGTTAAAAAATACCTTCCTCTTGATCTTCACTGAGTGCTTCATATCTGTAGCTGTCTGCCATAATTCTAGATCTCAATTTATTGACTGGTGAGGTCTTAATATCACCATTCATTGAACAACTATTTGGTTGTAATTATAGGCCTATTCATATTTCATTACCCGATCAATGTAAGCTTAGAGTCTAAAATTGTTACCGAATATCAAATATCTAATTTAAATTTATCTACATCGGTTTTATTCTGATCATGAAATTTGATATAAACTGTTATCATTTACACTAATATAATGGGCTATTATTTACGGTATATATTTCTATTTGTAAACATAAGCTCTCATCCTATGTCAGTAACATTTTCATTGACCTGTGTCTGAAATGATTTCCACTATGATGAAATTGGTATTAATTTAAATAAACAGAATTTCTTGTAGGAAGAGAGACTTAGTTTGAACTCGTTACGTCGCTAGTTACTACCTCTGATTTCATGACTGAAAACAAGTCTACGAATAAACTGATGTACGTTCAAGACAAATTCTGATTATAAAATGTAAGCCAAGTTTTATAACTTTTGTTTACATGATGAACTTCACTTCTAGACTAAACAAAATAACACAGTCCACGGTATATAATTTGAATCACTGTCGTGAATAACTTAACAAAGTTCCTCCATTTTACAAACACTATCAATCCTCATAATCATATCCTGTTAAACTTTCGCCACAAACAAGTTTATTTTTGTACGGATTGTTGTGTGACACGGTGACAGTCAAGCATCACTGCTTTTGCGCGACCTGAAAATTGGGCTAACATTACGATTATCCAGCCGTAATATATATATATATACGTCTTCCTTATCAGACAATTTATCAAAGTTATTGTTGCCAACAGCAATTTTATTTACATGGCCCCGTAAGCTTATTAGATTAAGCATGAAAGACGTCAAATTATGACGTAAGAATATACATCGACTGATGTTTAGAATCTATAAAAAACATCACAGCAAATTAACTTACAAAATAGATCCTCTTCTGAATTCCAGGAACCTTCATCGTCTGATTCTGCGTCGGAACTATTGCCACGTGTCTCCCGCTCTGCAGAATCAATTTTCCCGCCGTTTGGCAGGAGTTTGTTTCTATCGCTAGGCATTATCAATCTACATCAAATATGTTCTTAAAATCTAATTTTGAAAAAAAGACAAACTTTAATATTGTGCGAAAGTTAATAAAGAGAACCATCTTGTTTGTTGTTTTTTGGGGGGATATTTCCTTCGAAGACCAAAAGTTGATATCAGAGGCTGCCAGGGGATATCTGACAATTCATAAAAGTAAATGAATGTCACTAGATAAACGAAAACGAGAAAAATAGAAATAGCCCGTTGGGCGTACATTCCTTTTTTTTATTCATTCTATACTCAATAAAAACATGGTAATGCACGGACTTTTTCTATTTTTCTCGTTTTCTCTTATCAAGTGACAGTCAATTATTTTTTTGAATTGTCAAATATCCTCCCACAGTCTCATATATCAATTTTTGGTCTTCGAAGGAAATATTAGTGAGCAGAAATTCGCCCATGTATCTGTTATCACTCGCCACTTCAGTCAGTTACATAGAAGGATAACTCGTGTTTTCCTTTTGCGTTCGTCACTTCCCTTTCTTGAAGTCTTAATAACACAGCTATCGTAGCAATGATCTTTAAGTATATTTGCAACGTGTTTAACCAGTTCTATCGCATATGTGATAATGACTGGCACCAATATTGTCCTTTAAATACCGAGCATCCAATCAGGCTGTTGCAGCTGCATTCATAATAATAATCGATGCCCAAAAAATCTCGCACCAAATAGCCAATTCAGTACAAATTCTTGGTATTCAATTAAAAGAAAAGTAAAATTAGTGTTTTATTAGATTTCGGGCACTTTATTTGGCCAATCAGATGATATATTAATTTGTTTTTCTCTTTACCTATCTGCGCGAAAAGTCAGATTGCACAACAGTTAGGGGGCACCTGGCAAGGGTTAATGTATAGTTGTTCGGATGGTGCGATAGATCGAGGTCCCATGTACACATTGTTGTGCACGTAAAAAAGATCCACTGGCAGTAGGAATTTGAGCCCTGTAATTATATGTCGTAAGCCCAGTCGGGACACAGTAATAGGACATTAAACGTCATTTGATTTCATTTCATTTCATTTCATTTCTTAATCCGTTCCTAGTTGCCAGATATCGACTTTGTTTAGAAATGTCACATGTTGTACATTAAACGTAAAAGAAACCCAGTTTAGTAAAAATTCCTCGCCTCGATCCGATCGGCAACAAAACAGCCACTTTCTGTGCCCCCTTGGCTCCGCTTCTGGATCGACGGTACTATATTATATTTATTATTATTGCAACATCAAATTTTTCCATCTACATTAGCCCATTCGGAGCAGAAATGTAGGACGTTAAATCCCATTTCATTCATTTCGACGGTACTATATTATTTTTATTATTGTACCTTCAAATCTGTCAGGTGCGAACCAAGCAAAACAATAATATTATTTTATTAATATGTATAAGGCGCGAACTCACTTACAGTATAAAAATATACAGTGTTATTTATTTTTACACCTGCATCGATAGATATTGCTCCATATTCCACTATAATGTCCTTAGAGTTATTAATTTATCACTACTTTATTAATATTAAATAGGCAAATATCCCACACCTGTAAACTTTATAATAGAACAAATGCTGTTAAAAATAATAACCCACCGCAGGCCCAGTTTATGACAATATTTTGTCTTTATTAAAATATATATATATTTAAATGGTATAATAGATAAAAAAAAAACCATCATGTTACAGATCTTAAAGGCTCAATACCACTCTTGTCGTAACTGAATAATATGTCCTAATCTTTATTCTGGTCAACAAATTGTACTATTTTAGAATATTTCAATTAATTGATGATACAAATTTCATCTTAACACACCTTATTTAAAAAATTTGAAAAATTCAACATAATGGTTTGAAACGTCTAACGTAAACCTTTTCAAATGAAACTTCGATTTAAAAATATTTTCGAACCCTCTGGACAAGTAAAATAGGATGTAATGGATAATTTACACAACAGGTAGGACACTTAAACATCTAGTACTTAGATAGAGATATTATTTTTTTTCTGGAGCTTTCAAGCCAGCAAGAGTGTTATTGTCCCTTTAAGAGGTATTATCACTAATTTATCAGTTATATCACAATGGAATATAATTTATTAATCTACAAACAGGGAGATACTAATATAATGTATGAATACGTCGTCGACGTCATATTTTTATATATGGTTTATTAATCAACAGGGAAATACTACTATAGTGTATGAACATTTCCTTCTTCATTAGCCCAGTCGGAGCAGAACAGTAGGACGTTAAACCCCATTTCATTTTATGTATGAACATTTTATATTAATACCGTATTTATGGTTTAATACGTATAACAGACCTGTGTATGTTACTTTTCTGTGCATGAGTATTCTGGTTTCATTTATGTTTGACACGAACTGAATTTACAATCTAAAAAAAGATTCCACATTCTATTTTTGTTCCTCGGCTATTTATTCACATAACCTTGTTTATCGTTTTTTTTCTCATCATATTATGTAGAAATGTTTCACGAGTATTATAATCAACATTTTTAAAAAATTCAAATTCTCTTAATACATGAGGTGTATTGTAAAATGTATCATGTTTGAACTTTACGTAATTTACCAACATATCGCCGTAAAGATGTTTTTCTTGGTAAAAGCGTAGAAATAAAATTTGCCAATATACCTAGAACTTGAGAAATATTTGTTTTTAAGGTTAAAGTTGGCTATATAATGCAAAGATTATTATTATTATTATTATTATTAAGAAGAAAAAGAGAAATAACTAAAAGACATACCTTTTATTCATGTAATGTTTTATTCAGTGTTTCCACACGTAAGTCAGTATAGTCACAGTCGTGCATTAGAATTTTTCTTTCAAAAATGTCAAGGTGATACGATATCATAAGACGTGAGTATGGTTATTATTGGATAATACACATAGAAAATTATACTATAAAATATGAGGTCATTTAGAAAATAGATCACGTTGCCTCTTGAATAGAATTTGGGAGTAATATAAACATACACGTAATATGTTGCAACTATAATAATATTCAATATGTCCCTGCTGTTTCGGGCCTTTTATTAAAAGCAGGACCGTAATTAAGACCCATAGGGTCCAAAAGCACAATAATAAACCATAAACAATCCGTCAAGCACGTGGTTAAAGTTTTTCTGAGGTTATATAAAAATAATTAAAAGTTCTCTATTCATTTTTAAATTAAATATTTTGAATTTTTCATCTAACAAAGCAGAAATTCTATCTTTTTTTTTCTATTTTGCACCTGTAAAATAATATACGATTTATCATTTTATATGGCGTATTTCTACTGATATGCAGAAATTTGCAACACGTTTTAACATCCTATCTTTCCCCTCCCTTTTTAGGGATGGGCTGAACAGGAGTATGGTAGTTTCAGGGGTCCCTAAACTAGTTAATGTTCACGAATTTACGTCGTTTTTGATGAATTGCTAAGGTTGCCGCAAGTTAAATATGTGCAGAAGCTAGAAACACCAAGATATACTCTATAAAGCACAATTTACAGTCAGTTTTTCTAACACTCAGCCCCTGGGGTATCATCAGTAGCGGATTATCAGTGAGGCTGATGAGGCTGCAGCCTCAGGCCCAAAGATTTTGTAAAAAAAATTTTTTTAGACTTGTCTGATACGATTAAAAACGCATAGACAATGAATGTTATAATAGGGGGGTTGGGTTTAGGCCCACCGGGAGTCAACATAGGCCCTGACCCGAAATTAATTAGGCCCACGCCATTTTAAATAGGCCCTATTTAAAAACTGAATAGGCCCTCCAGCAACTGCCGCCTCAGGCCTTGGTGGAGCTTAATCCGCCACTGGGGATCATTAGGACCGACATTAACCACAGGTTCATTTCTGCCTAGTATATTTCTATCTATAGTGTCCACTGCTGATGTAAAACAGTATTGTTGTGGCAATCACAAGAACTTGTGAAATGAATAATAGACAATCTTATCGGAAATTAATTTTTGAACCCAATATTGAATTCAGTAACTCTGAAAACTTTATTTTCGAAAGAATATCCAAAAGAACAAAAATCGCCATATTGGATTCTTTTTTCATTGTCGTTTTAAATTTACCCCATCTGGGCTATTCATAATTAGTTTTTTGGATAGAAATTGAACTCTGCGACCTCAAAACCCATAGGTGGCTTAGTCAGTATTTTGGACTTGGGTGGACACTCACCACGTGGTAGGTTATTCCCTATGACGCCATCAAAGATGGACACCGACGTTATTTCAATTTTATCCTACCTGCTATAGTTTTCTGTCAATGTCCATGAAATAAAGGTCAGAATGAAGCTGTCTATGCGAACTAAAGTGAAAAATATATTTATTATTAAAATTTGATTAATTTTTCACTCAAACTCATACCCATTTCAATGTGGCGGTCTTCAACAAGTTTCGGGGAGCTTTATCTCGTAATCAGTGTGTTTTAATGGTGGGGGAATAACTCTTTATCTAAATTCTTCAAACACAAATGGTAATGGAGGCTAAATGTGCTGAAATAACGAATTAGACCCCCCCCCCCCAAAAAAAAAAAGTAAAACACACAAAAAATGTATTTTTCATGGACCCCCCAAAAAATCAAAAAATGTATTTTTCATGCCAACTATTTCGTAAGATGACTTTTAGCTATAAGGT